GGGACTCGAGGCCCAGGCCTCGGGCGCGGCCTGCTCGGGCCGCGGCCGCCGCGCTTTGTCCCGGCCCGCGAGGCGGTTGGGGGCGTTAACCGCCTGGCCCGGGGGCGCCCGCCGGGCCTCGGGCGGGGGCGGCGCGGCCGGACAATGGCGGGGCCGGGGGCGGGAGGCGGGGGCGTCCGGCCCGGGGCCGGGGGCGCGCGCGGGGGCTGGGCCGGGGCGTCCCCGCCGGCCCTGCACAAAAGATGACAGCGTGGGTGGCCCGGCCCGGCCGGCCCTGCCCGGCTGGGCCCTTCTCTTTTATTATTCACAACAATCCTGATAATTAAAAAAAAAAAAAAAAAAAAAAAAGAAGAGAGAGGCAGAGACAGAGAGCTCGCGAGCGCGAGGGAACGGGCGATCCCAGGCCCCGGCCCGCCCCCGCCTGCGTTTCCTCCTCCGGCGGGGTCACCGGGGCGCTGCCCGGTGGCGGCCCCCGACACGGCCATCGCTGCACCCCACCCCCGCCCTGAGACAGCCCGCCGCGCCGTCGCGGCTTCCCAACTCGCTTCCTATCTGCGAGCCCCCTAAAATAAGCGTGCAGTCCGGAATTTTTAAATTATTATTAAAAAACGTATCCACTTGGTATGCACCTCGCAGCTGCCAGACGCGTTCCCTCAGTGCCTCCCCCTTCGAGCCCCATCGCCATCTCAAAGACCCCCTTCTCTGTAGGAATAGATTGTGGAGTCGCTCCCGCGGCGACCCCGGTGGGAGCTTGGGGGGACGGATTCATTTTGCAAGGGACCTGCCCCGCAACGTGCAGGGGCCCGAGTCTGCGCCCAGTGGGCGCGATGACCCCAGGTGGAATGGGGTGCGTGTCCACCTGAGCACTGTGGAAGGTTTTGCAGGAGAGTGTTCTCCCCCTGTGGGCGGGGGAGGCGGGGACTGTTCTTCGGTGTGTCCCATCTGTTTGGTTGAGGGGAGGATGCTTTTGTTTTAATAATTCAGGTGCACCTGGGGAACTGTTTCCCGAGTTATGAAACTAGTGAGAAGGTGGTTCTGTTCAGTGCAATCCAGTGATCCTACAACATGTAAAGAGTGTGCTCTTGTCCATGTGTTTCTGTCAGCTGCATTTATTCAGCAAGTTCCTTTGGGCCCCACTGGGTGCTGGCTGTGTCTTCGGGTGGGAGGGTACTGGGATGCATTCAAGGCTGGGGTGCCCTGCCCCACCCCTCTGCCTCAACAGCTATTTATGTGGTTGTCCCCAGGCTGGAGAAAGCCCCTAAAACGGGCTCATTAGATGACTCTACGTGCTTTTATCTCCGCCATCCGAGAGCTAATGACTCCCCTAATTCTCAAATAATAGCTTCCTTATGAGGCTTCGGGAGGGTTTGTCAACTCGCCGGTCATCCTTTTCTTGCCACCTCTGCAAGAGCTGTGGACAGCCTCTCCCGTCTTTGCAGCTTGTTTTTTGGAAACTTGAAGGACAGAGTGTGAAAGTCGTGGAGTCAACTTGTGATTATCTGAGTCGAGGGTTTCTGAAACTCGCTGGCCCTCTTTCCGTGTATCTGATTGGATGCTTGGCAAATCTTGGTGTTCCTCCATCTGTGCCGGGGACACCACACCGGTCAGGCTGCCCTGCCCTGGGGGACGTCACTGCTGGGGAGCACAGGGGGTGGCCGAGGTGTGGTTGCCCAAATGGCGTCCAGGTGTTGCAGCACGTGCATGCGGGTCCTGTGTCAGTCGCCGCCTGTGCGTGTGTGTCCACACTCATGTGAGCGTGTAGCTGTTGAGACTTGAAATATATACAGGTCCCAGAACAATTGATTTTTCTCCCATTTTCTGATCCTTTCCTCGTTGGGGGTGGGCTGCTAAGGAGATGTGAAATACTGGCGCTGAAAGGTAGTGCTGATTGGTCCTTTAGGACCCCGCCCGGCCTTTGTTGTACTTTTCCTCAGTCCCTGTGCCATCCTGCAGGAGCCCTCTGGGGTGGTCGGCCCCCTCCCCCCAGCGCCACCCCGCCAAGCCCCTTTCCCCCCACCCTGGCCACTCTGTCTGTACTCGATCCCGCATTTCGCCGCCAGGGCCTCTGCTGGTTTCTTGCCCCTGCCCTCCCATGCCCCACCCCCTTCCCCTGGGGGGGCTCAGCCATCTGTTCCTGGCTTCTATCTGACACCTGTGAGAAGGGGCGGGCAGTGGAGCTCTGGGACAGGTTGTAGAGAATTCCTAACTTGAGGCCTCGGTTCTAGTGGGGGAAGGGAGAGGTGGGGGTCCTGGGGTGTGAAGCCCACCATCCGCAGGGACTGGTTCAGGGAATGGGCAGGGACGGGGGTGGGTGGTGATGGACTGAGGCGCTGGCAAATGAGCCTTTGCCTTTGTGGCTTTCTTCCTGGGATGTGGAAGTGTGGTGTGTGTGTGTGTGGGGGGGGGGTCAGAGCTGTGTGACCTTGGGCCAGTCACTTGCTCAGGAACAAAGTTGGGGGGGTTGCTAAACCTTCCCAAGTTGGGGGGCGGGGTGGAGAGTGAATGAACTACTTGCAGAGGGCATGACCGCGGAGGGCCCCACAGACCTGTTCGGTCACCACCATGCCTCACCCACAGCCTCGGCTGGCCAGGGTTCCTGGCTCTGCTCCAGAGACTTGCTCCGTGGCTACTCCGTGGGGCCTCTGTGCCCCAGCTCTTTCCTGCCCCGCCCTGGTGCCTCGGCTCTGGCTGAGGATGCTGGGCAGCAGAGCGCAGGGCCGAACCTGGACTCCGTTCTGACCTGCTGTGCTTGGCCGTGTCCCTGGGTTCCTCTCTCTGTTCCCCAGACAGGCTTCCAAGTGTGAGGGACCCGGGTTCAAATCCCTTCTCTGGAGCAGGTCACTTCCCTTCTCTGGGCCTCCGATTCCTCATCTGTAAAATGGGTGTAATGAGAATCCATGCTAGGTCATTGTGGGGGATCAAAGGGGATGAGAAGCACTGAATGCTTTGTGTGGCACCGGAGGTTCGGGCTGGCCTCGGTTGATTACTGGTGTGCGGCATCTGCTTCTGTCAGGGGCTCCCTCTGCCTGTGCACATTCGATCGGATTGTCCTCCGGGAGACCGTCCTGGGCACGCGGGGGCCTGAGCAGCATCCCTGGCCCCGCCCACTTGATGCCCGGAGCACCCCCAGTGTGACAACTGCAGATGGCCTCAGACATTGCCGAGTGTCCCCTGGGGGACACAGTTGCCCCTGAGGGAGATCCTGTCACTTAGCCTTTAAGCCTGCAGCGGTCTGATACTTGGCTACGACCCCGCTCTGCCTCAAGTTCTGGCCCCCTTTGTCCCCTTCCGCCCCTCTGTCCTTGAATAGGGAGGGGCTTGTGTTTGCAAACCGTGTCTGGCCAAACTCAGCCTGGCTGTCCAGGTCCTTCCTGGCCGTCGCTCTGCCTCTCCCCGGCCCGTCCCAGCCCGCAGCTTTCCCTCCCGGAGAGGGGTGCACCCGCAGACTTGCCCGTGCCACCTGATGGGCATGGCGCAGGGCTCTTCCGGGGCTGTCCTCACCCGGAGCCCGTGCCGGTGCCCTGCCCAGGCTGGCTTCCACCTGTCACCATGCCCCCTTCCCCCCTCCCCCGGCACCATACCCCTTCCTGTCACTTTGCTTAACAGTTCTCTTTAAGTTGACTTTGGGGTGACTCACTTCTTGCATCTTGCCTCCTCCTGAATAGTAATGTCCATGAAGTCGCGGGGCTGTTCTTACGCTGGTTGCAGACATTTTTATCCAGTGAACTGGATTTAACTCTGATATTAAAAAAAACAGGTTTGGGTCACTGCAGTAGTAAAGCCCGAGAGGATTGATGAATTGATTTTGTTGTTGGATGAGTTGGTTTCCTAGTTTCCTCCCTGATTTGACTTGGCCTCTTCTGGGAGCGGCTTGTTGGTTAGATAAGGTGTCCCCACTGGTCTGTCACTTTTCGCTCCTGCTTCCTCAAGGAGCTTTTAAAAACTTGAAAAGTGGTCTGCCTCTACTCAGAACGCTCCAGTAGCTTCCTGTTCTTCCTGGAAAAAATTCGAGACCCCTTCCCATGGCCTCCCTGCTCTGTCCTCTGTGGTCTGTCCGTTCTCCTTGCCTTACTGCTCCCCCTCCTGTGCCCGCTCCCTCAGTCATAACCAGCTTGCCTGCCTGCTCTTCCCTGCCCTGCATCGGGGCCTTTGCACTTGCTCTTCCTTCACTCTTCTAGCCGGCTGGCTCCTTGTCATTCACGTCGCAGCTCAGAGGCCATCCCTGGCCACACTGCCTAAACTCACCCTTCCAGCCACCCTCTCTCCCCATCCTGCCTTTTCTTTGCATTCAGCACTAGTGTAAACACACACATTAATCTGTTTATGTATCTATTGTCTGTCTCATCCAGGAGAACAGAAACTCTTTCTGTAAAGGGTCAGAGAGCCAGTTTTGGCTTTGTAGGCCAGTCTGTCCCAACTACTCTGCTCTGCCATTATGGCACAAAACTATGGGAATGAATGAGTGTGCCTGTTTTCCAATAAAACTTTATTCGTGGTCACAGAATTGTGAATTTCACATACTTTTCACCTGTGATGAACTGGTTTTCTTCCTTTTTTTTTTCTTTTTCCTCACCCAAACGTTAAAGGTCAAAACCACTCTTAGCTCAGAGGCTGTACAAAAACAGGTGGTGGGCTCGGTTTGAGCTGTGGGCCGTAGTCTGGGAACACCTACCACCAGGGTGTGAGGTCCATGCTGGAGGAACGATGTCTCTGTTGGCTGCTGCGTGTCTCCCCAGCACCTGGGGCAGTTCCTGGCACGCGGTGGGTGTTCAGTCAACGCTCCCTTGCTGAATGAATTTCCAGCTGTCTTACATCAAAGCAGAGTCCTACTCTGTATTAAAAAAAAAAAAAAAAAAAAAAAGCATCCTGGGTTGTTTCAAGGGAAATACAAGAAAATGTTACGACCCCGTCCACCCAAATAACCCCAAAATGAAGGAGGAATAAAAAGTAGCTGTGAACAGGGGCAAATACTTCGCTGTCTGCGATGCCTGAGCCTGACTTTTTCATGCCCTTCCCTTGCGTACTGCACCCCAGAAGGTTGGGAAGAAATATTCTCAGAAGATGGGGAAGGAGTCTTCTTGGCCTGAGGAGTTTTGTTTTGGCCTGGCAGAGGCTGAGGGTTTAAAAGGAAGACGAGTTTCCCAATCATTTCGTTTTGTAAGCATCTGACCCATCCTCTTTACCAACACTTGCGCCCTCGTCGGGAGGGGCGGCCGAGTCCTGCGAGGTGGTTTTTATAGTCACCCGCCAGCTGGGTCTCTACAGGGACACTCGGAAGAGGTGGCTTCCTGGGTGTGAATGCTGAGCTTTGTGGGGCGCGTGGATGACAAGGTGACTGTCGGATGGCACGTGGCAGGCCCAGGAGTGTGCCCGGCACACTTGCTCCGTCTTGCTCGTCCACTGCTACTGCGACTGTGGCAGGACAGCGGCCGACGTGGGATTTCCAAGCCAAGGACATAGTGTGGTAGATTCGGTACCTTCCCAGGAACGTTCTGACTTGTCAAGAAAGCATGCCGTTCATTTGCGGTCACGCCTTCTTCGGTTGATTGAAATAAACACTCTGGAGAGGGTACCAAATTTGCCTGTTCTTTTTGGACTCTCTGTCTTTCTGTGCCCCTCCATCTCTCCCTCCCTCCTTTCCTTCCCTCCTCTCGCTTCTCACCCCACCTCCGGGGTCCCAGCAAGTGCACACGGGCACTGGTGGGCGCCGGAGGCATCGACGGACCCTGTGTGCGGAGCTGTCTTTGCCCCATGGGCGGCCGTGCTTTTGCTGTCCTGTCGCTCTGGGCTGTGACTCCTGGGGCTGGAGGCCTTGAGTGGGTTTGTTCAGTGGACAGAGAGTGAGTGGTCAGGAAGCAGGCCGCCGAGGGCCGCCGTGCCCCCCTGTGCCCCCCGAGTGGGTCTCCCGGTACAGATCAGAGCAATAACTAACGTAGGATTTGGCCCTGTTTGCTGACACGTGATCACAGACATTTCTCAGATGAGCCTGTACAGCGAGCTGTGAAGGGGTGATCTCTAGCTGGGGCACTCCAGATTTTCTCCCAAATGATGGCACCTTCTGGGCAGGTAGGGGCGGAGGTGGGCCCGCCTGCCTGGTTTCGCGGTTGCTCGCCCCGGTCTCCAGGGAGAGAAGGTGGGGAGAGGGAGGATTTGTGTCTGATGAGCTGGTAGTGAGTCTGGAGCTGTGCTCTGTGCAGAAGCAGCCAGGGATGGGTCCCCGAGGCCTCCTTTGACCAAGAGCCAGCCTGAAGCCACCAGCAGGCGCAGTGATGGCCTGATGACGGGGGTGGCGGGGATCCCCGGACCGCAGGTGGGGTGGGGTTGGGCTGCACGCCCCAGCATTTCTGGGCAGCCCAGACAACGGCCCGAGAGCTGGCTGGGGTGGTCTCCTCTTGGGCACCCCGAATGAGTGAGGGGGACCCTGGCTGGGCAGCCGGACTGGGAGATTCCGTCATTTTGCTGCTGGCCCCTTCAAATGCGCACTGTTCCCCCACTGTCTCCTTTAAAAATCCCATCTCTCAGGAAGAGTCGGCCCTCGGCGCAGTGGGCCTCCCCTCTTAGGTTGGCGGGTTGCATGGATCTGATTATCATAGTCACGAGTTGAGAGACTTGCTTGGGTCTAGCTTGCGTGTGAGTAAAGCCCCTGGAATTTAAACTCTTGATTCACTGCACTATTCCAACTCAGTCTCCCCAAGGAAGAGTAGGGAGTCAGGAGAGAAGGCTGGTTCAGTGACACCCCTCTGGGAGAGAAGGCATCCTGTTGCACTCTCTTCCGGGGCTGCTCGCGTGGAGGCCAGAGAATGGTCTTGGCCGCGCCTGCGTCCTTGTGTCCTGCTTGCACCAAAGGCCGCCCAGAGCCTCGACTCCCAGGCGGTGTTGTTCGTTGAGAAACTGGCCGCTCTGCGCTTGGGGCACCTCTCGCCGGGCCCCGCCCAAGAGAGGCCAGGTGGTGCTTGGACAGGTGGGTGCAGGGAGCTTGCTAGCCGCTAAGACCTGTATGGGGTGGGCCCGGTCAGGTGCAGGCTGACCATCACAGGCAGAGTGGGCAGGGCGGCCTCCGCAGATGCCCAGACCGTGTGGCCCCACCAGCCTCAAGGCAGACATGCAGAATCAAGAACCACAGAAGGCTCCTCACACGTGGCCCTTGGCCTGCTGACCCGTGGCTCACCTCCGTGATCCCGGCCAGGCTGTGGCTTCATCGTGGACACACGGCCATGGGAGCCCTGGGAGGGCATCTGCCAGTATCTGTTGAGGGTGACAGTTGTTGTCAACGCTGCTCGTGTCTCGCCGGGTGCTGGTGGTGGCCGGATGAGCGGCGCCTCCTGCCCACGGGGGCCATGGCCCACGGTGGAAGGCAGAGGGGCTGGGGGCCCAGAGGGGAGCGAGGGAGCAGAGATGCCAAGATACGTAGAAACTGGGCTGGTGGAAGCACAGGGCACGGGCAGCGTCTGCTAGCTTGGGTGGCGGCCAGGAAGATGGTAGAAGAGTCACCACTTGAGCTGAGCCTTGTCACCATGGGCGATGATGAGCTGGCAGGCGGCGGAAGAGGGGACCTTGTAGGGGGTGCTCGGGGCCGTGGCCTGGGGGACCTGTGTGGAGAGCGCAGGGGAGGCAGGGAAGCCCGCCTGTCTCTTGAGTGTCTTCCCCGCCCTGCCCTCCCCAGCCAGGCCCCAAGGGGTTAAGGGGAGAGGGGGCCCTCAGGGATCCTAGCGTCTAAGACCAGAGCTGTTCAGGTCACCAGGGAGAGCCACAGGACAGCTGCCCAACGACTGGCTCCAGTAGGATGACCAGACCCTGAATTTTCTAGAGTAGCTCTTCGTAAAGTCCTCCTGCCCTGTCGTTGTTTTATACGTATATTTTCAAGGTAAACCCTGCGCCCGATGCGGTGCTTGAACTCATGACCCCAGGACCAAGAGTTGCATGTTCTACTGACTGAGCCAGCTAGGTCCCCCTTAAAAAAAAAAGAAATTATACGTATATACGTACATATAAATATATGTAATTATATAATTATAAATATAAATAAACACATATATTTTTAAAGTCTTACTTATTTGACAGAGATAGCACAAGCAGGGGGCAGCAGGCAGAGGGAGAGGGAGAAGCAGGCTCCCCACTGAGCAAGGAGCCGGATGATGCAGGGCTCGATCCCAGGACTTGGGATCATGACCCGAGCTGAAGGCAGACGCTTAACCAGCTGAGCCACCCAGGTGCCCCTCATATTTTTATTGAGATATTCACATACCAGAACATTCACCCTTTTCAGGAGACTATTCAATGGACAATTCGTTGTTTTTTAGAACGTTTATAGATTTGTGCAGCTATCACAACTCTCAAATTCCAGAACATTCCAGGACCTCAGAAGGAAACAACATACCTATTAAATAGTCACTCTCCCCCGCCCCCCCAGCCCCTGGCACCCACAACCCCCCCTCCTATCTATGTATGAGCCTGCTCTAGACATTCCACGTAAATGGACTCACACCGTGTGGCCTTCTGTGTCTGGTTCCCTCCCTGAGCATCTGTGTGGGGAGGCTGGGCCTGTGGGTGTGGGGATGGGTTCTGAAGATGAGGGAGGGCTGGAACGTCAGGCGTGATGACCCAGCTCACCTGCGGGCGGTGCTCAGGCTGCCCTTTGCGTGCCCAGTTCTGGATTCCTGTATTCAGTGGTGAGTCCTCACCTGCCTGCCCTCTTCTTGCTCCAGCCTGGGCTGGCCCAGTGGGTCCCCTGTGGGACCTCTCCGTGCAGAGCAGGGCCTCTGAGTGTCTGTTCCATGGAGCAGCGTGGCCCTGGCCCTTATGGCTCTGGCTTATCCATTTCCTGTGTCCTGTAGGTTCACCTCCTGGTCGGTAGGCCTGGGGCCTCCCTGCCCGGAGTCCGCCAGGGCTTAGGCTAGAAAGGGGTGTCCTGGTTCCTGCTGGCCTGGTTGGCCGTTCATTTTCCAAGCCTGAGTGGGCCTCCCTGGGAGCTTCATGTGGCTCCGGAGAAGCCCTACTCACGCCCTCCTTTCTGGGAGACACCCCCCCCCCCCCAAGTCTGGCCAGCAGCTTTTAAAGTGAGCTGCCTCCTTTGGGCCACTTTGCTTTCCTGGTCCTCCTGGCCCCGGCCTTACGGGGTTGTGAGTTGTCTCTTAGAAGGCAGCAACCGTGGAGCTAAGTGTCCACCTAGCCCTTATGGGGCCCCATGAAGCCCACTAGCCCGTGAGTTGCAAGTGGACCTCGGTTCCTGCCCAGGTATTCCCCCACCTCCCCGAGTTAAAGAGGTAAGTGGCTGCCCCTTTACCCTCCAGGGGTGGTGGCATCACCACCCTGGGCGATTCAGAAATGCAGCTGGGCTCTCCAGGGAGGGGGAGGGCCTCGAAGGGCGTGGGTTCGCAGCAGCACGCAGCCGGACAGCCCCACCTCCTCCTGCGTGCCTGGCTGGCACCTTCCCTGTGGGGACAGTGACACCCGCCCGCGTGTGTGTGCCCTTCCGGCCCCCTGGCAGAGGCTACCTGTGAGCTGGGGTGTCCCGAGCTCATGGGAGGATGCCCTGCGGGTACATGCGTGAACACTCCCCGAATGTCCGGTGACAAAGTTGGTCCCCCGCCTCACGCCATATACAAAAACGGACTCCTAAAGCCTCAGTGAGCTAAATGTGAGACATGAAAACATGTCTTTCCCAAGGCAGCGCCGTCCAGTAAAGACGCAAAGCAGGCCCCTGTGTAAGTGCAGTTTCTCTAGTAGCCACATTGGAAGGTAAAAGGAAACAGATGAAATTGACTTGACTAATGTATTTTTGTTGAACCTCATATACCCGAAGTGTTAACTTTTTTTGTTGTTGAAATTTTATTATTTGACAGAGAGGGAGACAGCGAGAGAGGGAACACAAGCAGGGGGAGTGGGAGAGGGAGAAGCAGGCTTCCCGCCAAGCAAGGAGCCCGATGCGGGGCTCGATCCCAGGACCTGGGATCATGACCCGAGCCGAAGGCAGATGCTTAACGACTGAGCCACGGAGGTGCCCCAAAATGTTAACGTTTTAACATGCGATCACTATAAAAATAGTTACCGAGTTATTTTACACTCCTTTGTGTTTTGTTTTGTTCCGTTGGTACTGAGGCTTCAGCGTGCTGGCTGTATCTCACGCTTAGTGCTGGCCCCCCACGGGCCGGTTCTTCGGGGAGACCTCAGTCCCTGGATGAGCTGACCCCACCAGCCGTGGTGGGGTCAGGGACACTAGCTGTGGTGGTACCTGGTGCTTAGTGGAGACTGGGCCCTTCTATCTGCCTCCTGTTCCCGCCCACCTTCCTGGTCCATCTGAAGTTCTGGAACTGTCCACCTCTAGCTGGAGAGACGAGACCGAGCCAGCATACACCGGCTGTGGCCGCTGAGGGGTGAGAGCGGGAGGGCACTGACCCACCGCAGGGGGGTGCGGCC